GCGCGTCGCGTTGGTTATATTTATAGGCGTGTGGGGAGTTTCTCAAAAATTCAGATTATGCAACAATACAAACGCTAAACTAGCGTTTACGTACACAAATATATTGTTGATTCTTACATTCGAGAATCTTTCACAACTTAAGAGAATAGGTGGGAGTTTCGCAACTCATATTTAACAGTATAAGTTATGTACATTTCTAAATATAAATATAATTTAAACAAACATCGATATTAAAGAAATATATAATAATAAGTCCGTCACAATGTCTACACAATATAATACTAAGATAAGCACAAAGCTACACAATGGGCTATCTTTACTGTGCCTACCACGGGTTTCGAAACCAGATTTTTAGTGTTGTAAGTCCAAAGACTTATCGCCGAGTCAATGGAGGGCCCTGTAACACGAATAGTCACTGAAGATGTTATGTAATGTCTATCGGACGCGCTACAAAAATTCCTATTAGGAACAGATTGTTCTGTTTTTCTCGCAGTTATTTATAATACAAGAAGAATGTAATCTGGTTACTTAACCCAAACAAGAAAAAAACCTGCTAGCTTGACGTCTCCTTCTAATGCCATTGGTGGTAAATTTATTTCCAATAAATCTAACATTTAATTAAATCTTTTCTGGGCAAGTGTAAATTGAGATGAGAAAGATTCGAGCCTGTGGTTGTATTGAATTTTCAGTCTTTAGAAAAATGCTACCGTTTCAGTATGGTATGCAATCTTTCAGATTTCTGTGATTCAAAATGTTAACTATTGTGTATCTAGCAGAGAACCACCAAACATTTGTGATCAAATTAGTATATTCATTGCAACAGTACTTCTATAAATACAGAATTTCTAAAATAATAATGTCATGATATAAAAGACTGTTTAGTTTAGATATTGTTGATTAATTTATTTTGTGAGTGGATATTTTATTAGTGTTTATTTTTCGTAATAATGAGAGTTAAAAGCAGATGATTGTAGGAAGTATAATTCATTAATGTTGAGACTACCGAACGTCACGTGCAATACATTGACGTCGAGAATATAGAAATTTCTAGAAGATGGGCAGACGATTAAGTGATAAACATATAAATAGTGTGAGATGAGCAGAAACAAGACAGTCAATAGCAGAAGAGAGTAAAGTTATGGCGTGAAGTTAACTACAGTAGAAGTGGTAAGCTTCACAATTAACATAGGCCTAACGTTTAATATGTTAGAGTAAAATTAACAGTAAAAAAGGAGATAAGAATAATAATTATTCCATCAAAGCGTGGTTCTAAAGTAACTAAATCAGCCTGAGTACACTTTGACAAAAGAAACAGAGGATATTTAGAAGAAAGAAGACCAAACGATTACGGCAACTCACGCCACAATTGTAAATGAATCACACACAGAATACTACTGCTATAGTAATAGCGAATACAGTTCATCTTGTCAACTGAAATTCTAAAGCAACTGAATAGGCCTAAGTGGACTTTTGACAACAAGAAGAGAACTATAGTGTTTATGATATGCATATAATCTCTGTGGTGTGAAGTATTTGTAGTATATGCGTTTAACTTGTTCTGAATATATATTGTTGCGTATCTGCTTGTTTGTTAATTTCCCTTAGAAATTCTTTCCGAGAAACTTCAGCGATACAAGTCCTTTCTTCATTAAAACTAGTTTATTCTTTCTCGATACACAGAATACACACAATCAATACGTTTGCAATCTCAGTAACAAAACACACACTTTATATTACCGTCACTACCGCTCGCTGGCCTCGATTATCTGTCTCTATATATCTATCTATCTGCA